TAAATAAATTGTATACTAGCTCTTTACCCTCTCATAAATATCTATATAACTTTATATAGATATTATATTTATAGATTTATATATTTATATAGATATTATATTTATATAGATATTATATTTTTATATAGATATTATATTTATAGATTATAATATATAGATATTATATTTATAGATTATAGATTTATATTTCCACCAGCAATGTGAGAGCACTTGTGAACCTTTATCCTCTTCCAAAGTGTTTATGGAACTTTTTAAATCTGACAATCTAACAGGTGAAAATGGTATCTCATTGTTTTGCTTAATATTTGTATTTTATGTGAGGTTGAATGTCTTAACATATGCTTAAGAACCATTTGAATTTTCTTTTCTGAAAGTTATCTGTTCATGATCTTTGCCCATTTGATGGTTGATCTTTCTCTTTCTGGCTTGCAGATACTCTTTATATATTAAGGAAGTTAGTCTTTGTGATACAAATTGCAATTATTTTCCCAGTTTCTCCATTATTATCATGATATTTTCCCCCTTTACATACACATGTACATATATGTGTATATACATATATCTTCCTTAACCAAACTGTAAATTCTTCCCATGAAGGACATTTCTTTTATACATCCCTAGGAAAGTACTTTTCAGAGCTTTAGACCTAAAGATCAAGTAAGAAGGGGGAGAGATGAGTTTTGGGGAATGACCAAGGATATATATCAATTATCACAGGGGCACAGTAAGTACACCAAGATCTGGTAATAAAATATAATTTGTCAAACAGGGAAGAAATTGGTACTATATGACTCCATTTCTAGTTGTCTGGGCTAATACCATGAAATCATAGAAGCTGCTGGCTGCCATATTTTCCATTAAGAGGAATAGGAATTGGTCCTCTGTAGCCAGAGAAGAAATAAGGCAAAAGCATGGTACAGAATAAAAAGATGTAGTGTGTTCTACTAGCACTGGAGTTCCCAAGCTCCAGCACTGAGATTCCATGAGGCATTCACTACATTTTAACAATAATTCCCCACTCTGCAACAGGCCTTACCCCCCACCCCCGTTCTGGTGATTGAACTCATTGGTACTTTACCACTGCCCTTTTTATTTATGTATTTTTTAAATTTTGAGACAAGGTCTTGCTAAGTTGGTTAGGGCCTTTATATATTGCTGAGGCTGGCCTTAAACTTGCAATCCTCCAATCCTCCTGCCTTAGCCTCCTGAGTTACTGGGATTACAGGTGTGTACCACCCATGCCCAACTCCCCTATTATTTATATAGAATGGACTTTAATTACTTATGACCAAAAAAAAAGCCTACCATATATTCATATTTTATAATAGAATATTTTAACAGCAAAAACTCAGGCAGGCCATAATCTCAGAGTTTTAAAAATGATTATTCATTTGATGATAGCTATGTGCCAGGAACATGTCTTAAGTTCTTGAAACACAGAATAAAACAAAAACAACCAGATCACTAGTGTCACAGGGTTACCTTCTGGTGAGAGCACACAGATAATATTATAAAAGTTCCAAATAATGAAAATGTTTTACAAAAAACATTTACAAAAAAAAGTAATGAGATAGATTAGTCTGTGCTATCATTCTGGAAGAATGGTTAAATAGCAATGCTTTTGAGACTAGATTCTATTCTATTCTATTCTACTCTACTCTACTCTAGGAAGCAAGCCAGTCATGTAATGATTAGGAAAAGAGTTCCAGACCAAGCAAACAAAAGTCTTACGAGTAAACACTGGTATTACTGGGAAAAAAAAGAATTGCAGGATTTTGATGGAATACAGTAAAAAGGAGAATGGAAAAAAGTTTTCAGAGACCGGAAGGTCTAAGAGGAAAACACATACGTTGATAAGGTAAGTAGAGATGAGATCATGTATAGGAGCTAATGAGTTGTGAAAGGATTTGAAAATAAACTTTTTAAAGAAAACTCACTGTACTATCTTTTAATCTCATTTTTTCTTAATTATTGATAATTTCAATTTATAAGCCTTTAGAAATTACCATCCTCGAGTATTTAACACAATCCGAAAGTTAGTGAGAAACATATTTTTACTAGAATACTATATAAGGAAGAAAGGAAGGAAGAGAAAGGAACTTTAGAACAAAAGAAAAACCATATTAAGGGAAAAAAGGAGAACAATCCACAATGATAGGCACTACTCCAAATTTTGTCCTTTTTGTTATTCCATAGATGAATTTACAATGATAAAGATTATAAAAACATCTTCAAATTATTCTATCATGATTAAGGAAAGTCATAAAACTTGAGTTGTCTTAAACTACTATAAATGCCAAATCGCTTGTTTACTGAGTTCACTACTATGAATTGAGTATTAGCAAAGTAAAATACCATCAGGTATAGAAAGAGTAAAAACAAGACTTCCAACTTTGTTATACTTTATAAGAATAACCACAGTTCAATGGTCAACAAGGTGTAGGCTTTACTCTTTATCTTTATGACTCTGATAAAGGATGAAATTCTCTTTTGTAGTGAAATGAACACTAAACTTGGTTACAAGGGATATTTCAATATCTCCTCCTCTAAAGCTTTTAAAAACAGGAGACCAATCTGCTTAAAAAGGTTTGGATATAATATACCTCACAGAAGAGAGATAATCTCTCCAGATCCTTTCAGACAATATCTGTGTATTTCAAGCATGTAACTAAAGCTACAGTACTTCTAAGATTAATGTCAGTAAAGTTAGATCTTTGAAAACTATAACAGTCATGATTCTTTTCTTGCATACTATGTTAGATCCTCAGTTAGCCCACTTAGTAATAGCCCAAGAACAACACTGTTAAAATAATACAGCATATAAAGAGAGGTACTTTGTGTGTGTGGAGTGAGTTAAAGAAAGAAAAGTCATTAAACACCTTGATCAAGACTGGATTCTGAGAGCATCCTCCTTAGTACATACTTTCCAGCAGTTTGGCAAAGTGCCCAAGATAATTAGCAGCCAGTGTAGGCAAAGGAGGGATTTGGTCAAGCTAAACTGTAAAGTCTCCCCCCAGTGGTCACACACAAACAGAAAAAAGAAAAGAAAAAAAGTGTGGGAAAATCACTGCAGCTTCTTTGAGACTGACCAATATACTCTAAGCAAAAATGATCCCTACAAAATAAAATAAAAATTTTAATTCACTAGCACCATATCAGTAGAGCTATCTCTCCTGTTATCTGCTCTTGTGATGCAGTATTTACATATGTGAAGACTAATTTTGGTAAGAAAGAACCTATGGGTAAAACAAAACTAGAATAATTTTTTTCAGAGCTGACAATATCTCAAAGCAGCAGAGAAAAAGGCATGTGTTCATTCTTTCTGAAATAAAGATCAGCACATCCCTTCCAATTTAAGTATTTACTTGAAGCAGAGGTATGATACAAATTTAATCCCTCATCATGTGAAATACTTTGGAAAGTAAAATTAACAAAATTTTCTTTACCAGAAAACTAGGTAACTTACATTAAATCATGTAAAAACTTCAAATGAGTCCTCTTGACTCTTCTATTTATTTATTTATTGGTATTTTTGTAACAGGCTTTGATTAACATGAACCTTGTGTTATTTGAAACTTCCTCAGCAATAATTTGCTGATGCTACCCACTTTTAATAAGGCTCAAATGTCAAAAATGCAAAAGGGATTTAATTTAAACATCTGTTTTCTTTCACTAACCATTCATTATTCAATACTGAAGAATAATATAAAGGGATGGTAAATTTTCAAACAGCCAACTTAATGTTAAAAACAGTTTTGTTTGTTTGTTTGTTTTTAAGGTAACACAGCTTCTCAAGATTTTTCTTGCTTATCCCAAGCTAAAACAAGGTGGGGAGAAGCAGTCTGGGTGGTCTGATAGAACAATTTCAGCCTGAAATGAGACTCCAAAAAGCAAATTGCTCCCTCCAATGTTTAAGAAAAATGATTCATTTTTGAAAATCCAACAGTTACCCTAAAGCGGGTGGGGGAATTCTGTACTGTGTAAAGAGGTGGACATGCAGTCATTTTGATTTCTAGGTGGAAAAAGAATTCAGTGGCATCAATAAGGACATACACACTCCTTTCACCCTGTGTGGTCTCTATAGGACAAACTAGAGCAATTAAAAGTGTTACCATGTGTGTATTATGTAACCGTAGTCTAGAAGAAAAAAAACATGGGCCTTAAGGAGTAAAACATTGAGCAAACATGTATTTAAATATGTATTTAAATGTATGATAGATTTAAGATACAAATGACCTCAAAATGACACAATCACTAAAGTTCTTTATTTACAGTAATCAGGCCCTGAAGACAACTATAATCAGGCCTGGATGCTTATCATAATTGCACAGTAGACACCTAAAATAAGCAGTACGTTATTAGCTGAGGTCCCTTGTTAGACCTATGTACCAAAACTATCTCCTCATTAATAACAGTGTATTATCTCGCCTAATACATTTGACAAATGTAAGCTTCTGATCTATTATTTCAAAGATTTCACAGGAAGAAATGAATGCTAAATCATACTCCAATTGAAGAGCATTTTAATGCCGCCACCCCCCTCCCCCGCAATGTTCTTGGCTATACTACAAGGTAACCAATTCAGCAAGCATGAAGTAATATTCCGACAATTCTCAAAGCCATAGGAAGAGGAAAACGTGGCTAACCTGACCTTAACCGGCTGTTTATAAGTAATGCGGAGAATTTTCTGAGCCTCCCGGTCAGTCTTCAATTCTCTTCTTCGCCTCTCCCTCCCCCACCTACACAAATGCACGCCTCAACAGATGAAGTTTAATAGATATAATCCCAGGAGCTGATAGGATTGAGACTAAACTCCCAATAAAGTATCAAAAAGTCTTCTGCAAAAAAACACCCACCAACCTATCCACAAGCTGTCATCACACTGTGGGATCCTTCAACCAACTCCCTCCTGACCCCACCCCCCACCCCCCGCCCCGAGAGAGAGGGAGGGAGAGGGCGAGGGGGGGCCCCGGCACCTTTCTGGTTCCGGATAAATGTACCTAAAATCAGGGGGCACGGTCTCTGCAGCGAACGCCCCCGGAGCAGTGCGTGCTCTGCCCACAACCACTTTGGCCAAACAACTGGAATCTCGTGCCTCGGAAGTAGCAGCAGTAGTTGCAGAAAGCCTCCTCCCCGCCGAACTCCGAGCTCGAGAGAGAGCCAGAAACCGGCGGAATCGCCCCCTCTCGGGACTGACCCCGAAGGTGTCAGTCACAGCAACACCGCCCCCGGCGCGTCTCTCCATTCATGTTTTAACGCTACTCCAGCCGCAGAGGGTGTCAGCACCAGAGCTCCGCGCCTAGAGAGGGCCGTAGGCGCCGGTAGCCCCAACCCCAGCTCCAGCCTGGGCCACGCCGGAGAGCGCGAGGCGCCGCGCGGCTGCCAGCAGCATGCGCCAGACACGTTGCCGCGCTCCTACCCGCCCGACCGCTGCACGCAGCCCGCAAGCTAGGTGTCCGGCCCAGGGCGCCCCTTCCGCGAGTCGGGCGGGCCGGGCGTCGGAGCTGCAAACAGCCTCCCTATTCGCGCCGCCCCCACCTCCGCGGAAGCCCAGGTGCCCAGGGGCGGGGCGGGCCAGGGTCCCGCGTGGCGCTGCAAAAAAGCAACAGGGCGCCCCCAGGCCGGCCGGCGAGCGCCGAAACCGTTACCCGAGTGGCTTGGGGCCCCAGCAACTCACCGGCTCGCACCTCAGCCGCCTCCGCGCCGCCGCTCCTCTGCTCCCGCCGCCGCCGCTGCTCTCCCTCAGCCGCAGGCGCCGCTGAGCAGCCCCATCTACAAACTCGGGGCTTGTAGTTGGGTATTAGAAATGCGTCTCTCACTGTCCCCCGCCTTCCCCTCCCTCCGCCCCCTTCGTCGCCACCCACTCCGCCCTGGCTCCGGTCGCTACCGCCACCGCGCGCGCGGCCAACCTCCCCTCAGCCACCCTCCTCCTCCTCCTCCTCCCCGCGCTGCTGCAGCCGCCGGGGCGCGCTCCCTCCCGGCCTCGCGCGTGCGCGGGACGCCGGGGAGCGCGCGCTCGGGCGCGAGGAGGCGCCACCGCCTCCGGGAAGCCGGGCCCCGCCCCTTCGGCCGCGGCGCGGCGGCCAGGTGGAGCCCCCTTTGAGCGCCCGGCCTGCCTACCCGCGCGCGCCCAGTCGCCTAGCCTCGGGCTCGCAGTCAGGGCACAGCTGTCGCCGCGTAGTCTAGCAGGAGGGTTTGTCCCACCCAGTCCACGCTGATCTTCCAGGCCGAAATCGTCGTTGTCATTCAGCATTTACTGTTGGCCAAGATATTCCACCCGGCATGAAAGAGGCCCCTCCCTGCCCTTTCTGAGAGTTTACAGTGAAAGTATCCAGTCAAGGGACACAAAGGAGAAACAAACCTCAAAGAAAAGCCTATGGGAAATCTGCCCCTTCTCCCTTACACACCCCTGACTTTGATGTGTATTTGTCAGGTTCTGCAGCATCATGTCCTTCATGAATTTTCTCCCAAGGGCTCAACAGGAGAGTGTGATTCACACCCTAGGAAATGGACCGACACTAGTTCTTTTCGTATTACCAAAGCTCCCATGGAACTCTGGAGCCGGCTTTGCCAGACACTCCCCGGACACAGTTGTTCAGCTCCTCCCAAACATCTGGCCCTCCCAGACCTGGAACGGAGGGGATTCGCCATCCTCTCAGTCCTGGCTCCTCGTGGAGCGTAGTGAATTGTGGACTGTCCGGGTGTGCAGATGACACATTTTGACAGGAGTGCAGATTTAATTTTTCAGTTGAAAGGAAGTGAGCAACGCAGTGCAGCAGAGGCTTCTAGCTACAAAACCACAGCAACGCAGTCAAAGCACTTCCGATCCCTATCCCCTTGGACTTTTCTGCGAACCCTCAGCCCAAGGATGGATGTTTTTGGAAAAGCTGTCGTGTTCTTCCTAAAGCTGAAGAAGCTATTAGGTTGTTATTTCAGTGGAACAAAATGTTTACTGCAGCCTTTTCAAACCATGAACTTAGAAAGTGCGAGTAAAACTTCTCATGTGACAATACATCAGGTGGCTTCCTCTATGCATCCTTTCCTGGTTTCTCTTAGGCACCTTTGCACAGCTGCTGCCCAATCCAGGTTTTTCATAAATGTTTATAAAACTAGTGAATGTATCATGGCCCTTTGGATTCAGAGACGGAGTTATGTTAACGTGGCAGGCATGGAAAGGAGGAAGATAATGCCATGGGGATGTGGGTGTTAAGAGGGCCCAGTGCTCAAAGCAGTGAGTTTTGTCTTTAGCTTCAACCAGACATCAAAGATTAATTTGCTTTTCCATGAGGATCATTAATTTTGCAAACTAATACATAGGGGCACTTTTTAGAGTTTTAATTTAGAACCTTCTTTCCTGGAACAGCAAACCTGAGGAAGGGAAATTGAAAGCAATTAAGGAAACCTGAATGTGCGAAAGTGCACAGTATAACTTTGGGCAGATGTTGTGACCCCCTGTAGTCAGGCCAGCTGGATGAAATAACATGGAATGGGTCCAATAGCCTGTCAAGGTAGAGGCAGTAGGAAAGCATGTGGTTTCTTTTCTCAGGGAATCAGCAGACTTCTCTTCTCAGGTAATTGCTGCCCCAGAATTCCCAATGGCTTTTCCCTGCTTCACCCTACCTCAACTCTGTAAACCTCTCTTCTTCTATTCCCACCTTACCACACCCTCTCCTACCCAGCTAGTGTACTTGCCCTAAGTTGCTCTTGGAGCAGGTCTGGGGTGTGGGTGACATTTCTGGGTGTGTTGCTGATCCCTTATAGTGCATTTTTATTTTCTCAAGGATCTTGTAGAAACAATGTTCCAACGTCCTAGTCCACCACCTCCACTCATGGCAAGTAAGATAAAGTTAGCTTGGGAAGTTTTAGGGTATAAGGGTAGTCTCTACTCCTTAAATCACAACATGCACATGAACTCTACTTACATCTAGAATAAGCCCTGACCAACATCATTGTCTCTGTGTACCAGGGACTCAACATCTAGAAGCAAGAACAAGTATCTATTACTTTCAATTCCAAAACTGTTCTCTAAATAATGACAGCAGCTACTAGAGGCTTATCATTTTAAGTCTCAGCCTCATCCTCAGAATCAGAAAAATGATTTTCCTCCTATAACTATATTCAATCACTCCCTTCCAGGGAGCTCTTGCCAGTGAAGTTTTTCTTTCAGTATCCATATTTTATCAAATGCTATATAGGTTATATTATGAAACATTACGTCTTTATATAAGTAATAGCCCCACCTTATGACATTCTGCCCTTCCTCTAAACTTTAAAGGTGGAACATATCAGAGCAAATGTAAAATGATCTAATGTGAACCCTGGAACTCCTATCACTGCTTGCCAGCTCACCTTGCTGAGAGGTCATCATTTCTAAGACACCACCCATTCATTTCCCATACCTGTTACAAAGCCTTCATTGTAGGAGAGGTGAACATTATGATTGAAAATAATGGTGAATCTTTCATTTTAGTGTCCTTGAGGTTCTGACTTTTCATTTCCTTTAAGGTTACTCTAAAGGAATCAAAATTTTGCCATAGTCTATCTCCTAATCATAATTCAATTTAAAAATCTGTATTTTGATTCTTAATTGGAGAACATCATCATTTGCTTTTATTTTCCTCCTTCAAATATGACCAAAAGGTTTACATGATTGTTTTATTTTCTGACCTGCTTTGCTACAACAAAATGAAGAATTGTGTAATAGTTAAGAACCCCCAAATTTTAGCAAAAGCAAGTCCTATCTGTTCATTTTCCAACTAATCCATCACAATAAGAGCAGAAATGCTCCTGGAGGAAAACTTCATGAAAAATTGCAACTGACATGCATCACAAAGTCCAACCAAATTTTCCTCCAGAATATTTTATTTAGCTTAGCCTCTTTTATCTCTGTACCAAAGCTAGGTCAGACTCCCATTTCCAGACTCCTTGCTACCCTTTCCAATTCTAGCCTCTGTCTTAATTGCTTGCATTTTACCCTACACTCAGAGCAATGTACTCTACACTCAATTTTGGCTGTTTATTGGAATCATCCAAAGAACTTTTTAAACATTGATGCCTGAGTCCCACCCCTAGATCTAATTGGTCTGGAGTGCAGTCTGAGCACCAGGACTTTCCAAACCTCTCCGGGGTAATTCTAATATGCAGCCAGACTTAAGAACTGTGGAAATGAATCATCTTCTAGACAACATTTATACCAAGTCTTTTCAGAACACTGGGGTAGCTCCAAATTATCTCAAGTAAACAAATTAAAATACCTAATCCTGTGCTTTAAGACTCTTTGCCAATTGACTAGAATAGTCCCCTTTCAAAACAGCTTAAATTTATCTCCTTCCTAAAGCTTCCCTAGATTAGTCTTACCTGGCTGCCTGAAGATCACTGTTCCCACCTCTCTGAGCATTCCTACTGGTACTGGTTTACAAAACCTTGAACCACAGTTAACTGTGTATATTATTGTTTTAATCTTGCTTTCATAGATATCTGTCAGAGGCTTTTCTTGTAATCTTAATCTCTTCAAAATTCCACCGGGTTGACAGATAATCAAAAATAAACAAAAATATTATTCTTAGCAGAATTTTCTACTCTAAATTAGCTACCTGAAATAACATCCCCAAGCACAATAGCAGTTCATTTTAAAAAATCATTACTATTAAAGCCAATAGTTGTAAGAATTTAAAAGTTTTGGGTTGTTTCTTACAAAAGAAAAGCTCTGTGTGTTGGGAGGCATATCCCTACCTATTCTTACCATTATTAATTTAAGCATTGGAATTTGACTTTCACACCTGACATTTTCATTCATGTGCTTATTAATTTACCAGTTTACTGGTGATAAGTGCTAGGAATAAAACAATTAACAATATCAAATAGCCTTTACCTAATGGTGGATAAATACTAAGCAATTATAATATCACTTGGTAAGTGCTATGCCAGTCATCTTAGTAGGACATAATGGAATTATGGTGGAGCCTGGGGTCTTTGCTTAGTGTTCATGCAGTTCAGTCTCTCTATAGTGTTTGAGGAGGTAAAACCCACTCCTAGTTTTTGAACCTCTCCTTTCCTGATACTATACAAACTCCTCCTACTTCTCTGTTCCATCTCTGACCCTTATCTGGTTGCTTAATCTCCTCCCACTTCTTAAATAAATATGTTTCACTAAGATTGTAAGAGATTTCTGAAAGTATATATAAAGAAAATAGTCCTGGTTTTTTCAAGAATCTCATGGATTTGCAGGTCAGGGCAATTCACGCTACCTGGGAGGCTAGGCAGGAGGATCGAAAATTTGATATCAACCTGGGCTATTTAGATCCTGGCTCAAAAATATAAAGGTCTGGGGTTGTAATTCAGTGGTAGGTCACCCCTGAATTTAATCCCCAGAACCAGGAAAACCCTTTAAAAAGGAATTTCTTG